ACAGGTGAACTGAATAAGGCAATCAACAGGAGAAGGAACTAGATCAATGAACAAACTAAGGCGGTCCACACGATCGCGGGTATTTTCAAAACCGCAGCTTTTTCTAAGTGGTTTGGCCATTCGTCCACACGCAAACACAGCACCAGGTCACTGAAACCGAACATTTTGTAAAACTTCTGCCAGGGTGAAGATTTTCAAAAACTCCAGTTGCAGTGTTATCGTGTAAACAACAAAACTGGAGATTTTGGCTTGTAAAGTCGGAGCATGCGCTGTTATCTCCGCCTACTGGATTATTTTTCAGGCTTCTGATTGGCCAACATGGCTTTAGGGTTGAGATTATATCGCCACCTGTTGGTTTGTCCAAAAGCAAAAGTGTTGCATTTATAATTTTGTTCAGTGTAAAAATACCCATATACGTGTGGACTAGGCCTTAGTCTCTAAAGGGATTCTGCTGTTATTTATTCAATCTTTGTGGACGTCGACCGGATGTTAAGTTTGGGCCACAAAAGCACATGTGCAATAACGTTGGTTTATTTTGTTGCCGTTAAAACTGTCTATAAGACAACTACTGTTTACATTTTTGCGGTTACCATGACAACACTGTTTGAGATATCCAACAACCGTTTGAAACTTAGGTTCCTCAGTGTTTTGGCAACGTGTGGACAAAGTTTAGTGTAAAACTTATGACAGCAATTCGAGGAGAATATAGGTTAAGTATTTTAAAGTTTGAAGCATTGACATTGCAACAGTATTTAAGATATTAAGAATCCCTTCGCCCTTTTTTTTTTTACACTTCCTGCTGTCAAAATAAGTATCACATAGATTAGACTCAAAATTACCTCATTTTATGTGATTGGCCTCCTTCAATGAACAAGCTACTGAAGTTCAAAATCAGCCAATGTATGATGAAGTTACAACACACATGCTGTGCATCTTCAATGTCTTGAGATCATATTGACTAAGTTTGGTGGTGATTGGATGAAAAACCTAGGACGAGTATATCAAAATTTCACAATTGTTTTACAGTGTAGTTTTAAAATCGATCTAATGTAATGATTAATGAAAAAGGCTATGTTTCATTGGTCAGCGAATGATCCACATGACACAGGTTAATGTTTAAGAGTTTTATGCTGATTTCATTGCTGAGCATTACAACTTCTCACACAGGCAGGAAGAACATGATGCAGCATAAGTAAGATATTGCATCAGTCAAATATTGAATTTAAAATACAATAAACAAATAAAAGAGAAACTATGTATGAAAGGCCAAACACTGAAAAAAATACAGTACAATGGGATTTTTCCTTTACATATGTACATCTATCTTTACAGTCAGAAAATGAGGGGAGAGGTTCACAGTCATTTAGAAGAGAGCATTCGTCCATACATTGATCTGATTGACACTCTGCGGTCAGTTGGCATTCATAAGGACTTGGCGTTACCAACTATTGTAGTGATCGGAGACCAGAGTTCTGGAAAAAGCTCTGTGTTGGAAGCGCTGTCTGGAGTTGCGTTACCAAGAGGGAGTGGTGAGGACTAATTTAACTCTTCTTTGCTATTGGATATTCATACACACTCAGTGACCACTTTATGCACACCTCTCTGATATTTTTTTTCTATTGGTTTGTCTGAGATCAGTTGACTAAGCCCAGATAAAAAAACAAGTAGGGCCCTGGGACTGTGTTTTCTATGACTACAACAGAATTAAAGCATAAATGCATTAATGCCAAATACGAGATAAAAGCAAACCGGTTTCCAGAAACAGCAAACAACTTTTGCTTTAGGCATTTGAAGAAAGGACAGAAACAAATAATAACATAATCGTGAATATACTGCAAATGCATTTAACAATATTAATATTCCGGTAAGACTTTACATCAAGGTGTCATTGTTCATGTTAGTTAATACCTTAACTAATGCTAACAAAACAATAAACATTGATTTTATTACACTGTATTTATTAATCTTTGGTAAAGTTAGTTAATAAAAATAGTTGTTCATTGTTTATTCATGTTAGTTCACAGTACATTAACTAATGTTAACAAACACAACTTGTGATTTTAAAAATGCATTAGTAAATGCTGTAGAAGTATTGTTCATTCTTATTACAGGTGCTTAATTATTGAATTAATATTTTACTTAAACTAAGTTTTATTAGAACGTTATTAGAACTATTAGAACTAAATTCTCCTCTGCAGTTTCCTTCATGAAAATCTACTGCAGTTCTTGAATCCAGAGTTAACTGTAATATTGGTAATATTATGATTCAGGCAAAAGCCATGCTCCTCATTACCAAGGTTTTATGGTTTATATACCAACAATAAAACCCATAATAATAATAATAATAAAAACAGTCTAACATAATATCTTGCTGGTCAAGGGGTGTTGCAACTCAGATGGATGGATCACTTGTCACATAATTTTCCACTTTTAGTTTTCTGTTGATTGCTAACTCGACTGTTTCTGTAGGAATTGTGACCAGATGTCCATTAGAGCTGAGGCTGAAGAAGGTACCAGGAGTCAACTGGAAGGCTGTTTTAACTTACGATAAGAAAACAGATGAATCCGTGAATCGTTTTGCAGGTTAGTAGGGCTGCTTTGCAGTGTTTGGTTTTCTTAACTGGAGTGGTTTCTTTCAGCTGGATTGAAATTATTGTTTTTACAACTGGATTTAAACCATGTTTTGTTGCAGGTCCTATTAAACCCAGCAAACTGGTGAGTGGAAAGATAGCACAGTCAGCTCCCAATGAGAAGAAAATTGAATTTGCAGATCCTTCATTAGTTGAAGAACATGTTGCAGCAGGTTAGTAAAACTGGAAAACTCTTTTCTTTTCAGTGTTACTGGTATATAATAAAAATGATCAAAATTTCAAAATGAAGTCACAATCAGTAACTGTGTATATATTTATTTTGTCTTATAAAATGCATTTGTCTTATGGTGAATTGGAATGCTGAATTGACAAATCAGCATCCGAGACTATATCACTGTGCAGAAGCCATAGCATATCAGTTTTTTTGTTTTTGTATAGCTACATTCTGGTATATGAGGTACTGTATCACTTCTGTATTAATTGTACTCTTTGTACCTGTTGTTAGTATGTTGCTAAGCTAACAATGTATAAGCAGTACACAATTATTGGGTAAAATAGTCAAAACTATTCATGCTTTTAAAGTACTGAATGAAATATACATTCAGTTAAAGTCTCAAACATTTAGCCTCTTCACAATGGCTTGTCTACGATAAATTATTCTGTTTGTGTTTTACAGCCCAGAATGAGCTGGCAGGAAAAGGGGGAGGAATATGTGATGAGCTCATCACTTTAGAGATCATGTCACCAGATGTGTGTGACCTCACACTGATCGATCTGCCTGGAATTGCCCGAGTCCCAGTAGAAGGACAACCGGAGGATATTGGAAAACAGGTGGGTCATTTAATCTGATCTTGCACACCACATTTATTATCAAAGTAGTATAAGTACAGTTTTTAAACTATGTCTATGTCTTGTAGATAAAACGTCTGATCATGAAATATATTAAGAAACGTGAGACTATAAACCTGGTAGTCGTCCCTTGTAACATTGACATTGCAACAACAGAAGCCTTAAAAATGGCACAAGAAGTAGATCCTGAGGGCAAAAGAACTGTGGGTAATGAAGCAGATGATCTGCACAACATCTAATATCTCACCAAATGTCTTACAGCACGTTTGTCAGCAAATTTACTTTTTATAAAATAACTATTTCTCATTCTCACAGCCATTTTGACCAAGCCAGACCTCATAGACAAGGGAACAGAGAAGAGCATTCTGGCTATTGTCCACAACAAAGTGATTCCTCTCCGCAAAGGTTACATCATGGTGAAGTGTAGAGGACAACAGCAGATCAATGATGAAATTCCTCTAGAGGCGGCAGCACAAATGGAGAGCGATTTCTTCCAAAACCATGACTATTTCAGGTTACAGAAAAAAATATATATTTATTTATTTTGCATGTATTAATTTTTAATTTAAAATCATTGATTTTTTTTAGCCTCATAAAGTAAAAGGGTTACAGCTGTCCTGATAATAAAATGAAGAAAAAAAATGTTAAAATAATGGAATTAATGAAAAGAAAACCTTAAGTCATAACCTTAAGGTATAATCTTTTATTATTAATTTGTAATACACACACATTATATATATATATATACACACACACACACATATACAGGTGCATCTCAATAAATTAGAATGTCGTGGAAAAGTTCATTTATTTCAGTAATTCAACTCAAATTGTGAAACTCATGTATTAAATAAATTCAATGCACACAGACTGAAGTAGTTTAAGTCTTTGGTTCTTTTAATTGTGATGATTTTGGTTCACATTTAACAAAAACCCACCAATTCACTATCTCAACAAATTAGAATACTTCATAAGACCAATAAAAAAAACTGTTTTAGTGAATTGGTGGCCTTCTGGAAAGTCTGTTCATTTACTGTACATGTACTTAATACTTGGTAGGGGCTCCTTTTGCTTTAATTACTGCCTCAATTCGGCGTGGCATGGAGGTGATCAGTTTGTGGCACTGCTGAGGTGGTATGGAAGCCCAGGTTTCTTTGACAGTGGCCTTCAGCTCATCTGCATTTTTTGGTCTCTTGTTTCTCATTTTCCTCTTGACAATACCCCATAGATTCTCTATGGGGTTCAGGTCTGGTGAGTTTGCTGGCCAGTCAAGCACACCAACACCATGGTCATTTAACCAACTTCTGGTGCTTTTGGCAGTGTGGGCAGGTGCCAAATCCTGCTGGAAAAGGAAATCAGCATCTTCAAAAAGCTGGTCAGCAGAAGGAAGCATGAAGTGCTCCAAAATTTCTTGGTAAACAGGTGCAGTAACTTTGGTTTTCAAAAAACACAATGGACCAACACCAGCAAATGACATTGCACCCCAAATCATCACAGACTGTGGAAACTTAACACTGGACTTCAAGCAACTTGGGCTATGAGCTTCTCCACCCTTCCTCCAGACTCTAGGACCTTGGTTTCCAAATGAAATACAAAACTTGCTCTCATCTGAAAAGAGGACTTTGGACCACTGGGCAACAGTCCAGTTCTTCTTCTCCTTAGCCCAGGTAAGACGCCTCTGACGTTGTCTGTGGTTCAGGAGTGGCTTAACAAGAGGAATACGACAACTGTAGCCAAATTCCTTGACACGTCTGTGTGTGGTGGCTCTTGATGCCTTGACCCCAGCCTCAGTCCATTCCTTGTGAAGTTCACTCAAATTCTTGAATCGATTTTGCTTGACAATCCTCATAAGGCTGCGGTTCTCTCAGTTGGCTGTGCATCTTTTTCTTCCACACTTTTTCCTTCCACTCAACTTTCTGTTAACATGCTTGGATACAGCACTCTGTGAACAGCCAGCTTCTTTGGCAATGAATGTTTGTGGCTTACCCTCCTTGTGAAGGGTGTCAATGATCGTCTTCTGGACAACTGTCAGATCAGCAGTCTTCCCCATGATTGTGTAGCCTAGTGAACCAAACTGAGAGACCATTTTGAAGGCTCAGGAAACCTTTGCAGGTGTTTTGAGTTGATTAGCTGATTGGCATGTCACCATATTCTAATTTGTTGAGATAGTGAATTGGTGGGTTTTTGTTAAATGTGAGCCAAAATCATCACAATTAAAAGAACCAAAGACTTAAACTACTTCAGTCTGTGTGCACTGAATTTATGTAATACACGAGTTTCACAATTTGAGTTGAATTACTGAAATAAATGAGCTTTTCCACGACATTCTAATTTA